CAAGCACTGATCAGACGTGACAGAAGCCGGCGCAACGAACAAACAAGCATCAAAAGACGCAGCGCGCGCGCCTTCTCTCCTCCCTGCATATATTTATTGCGCGCCTCCTCTCCCTACGTGCATATATTTATTGAATATTCTTCCTAAATGACGGGCTTTACAATACTATCATAACAGGGAGTTGGATTTCTTAGAAGCGAAGCAGCTTATGGAGGAGTTCATCTAGTGTGCGGCGTGATCACCTTTGCTGCGCAACCGCCAACCCTCTCTTCTCCTCACGTGAGCACGACGAGGTGGGAAGAGGTGGCAGAAAGCTGCCTTTGCTTCGTTTCTCCTCTGCCGTTTATTTCTCAGCCACAGCTGTGCGTTCGTATATAATGATGCACCTCACTCCATTGCACTCTCTACTGCACTCTCCTAGCAGCGCTGAGTGCTTCCTTACACACGGTACACAAATGGGAGGGGGGGTAACATAAACATACACAACTTATACACAACACCATACATAAATTAAACATACATGGAATCATACAAATGCAAACAACAAGTGGAAACACCACTGAACACCAGCGCTGCTTCGCATCCCCACATGGTTGCGTTCATTTTATTTATTTATTCATTTACAGTACACTGCAGTCACAAAAGACCATACAGGTAGCAAACTATACAGTTGCAAGTTTACAAGCACAGATAGAGCCCTATGGCACACAAGCTCCCAGAACAGGGAACACAGCAAATCTATCGGTAAATCTATGGAAATATTACAAAAACCCCAGCATAACCAAACTAGACAACAAATTAATACAGTTAACATAAGAGTGACGCATATATAATGTTTAGAGAACACACCCTCACCCTTCCGCTTTAAATACTCTCATAATCGAGTGCAAAATATATACCAGCTAGAAATTGTAGAAAAAACAAAAATGCTCTCCTCGAAATAAGTCGGGTGTGTAAATACAGTGCCCTTAGTGGGAGAAGGTGTAATTTTTTCTCCTCCCCTCCACCCCTCTTAGTGCGCTGTTTTTTTTTAATATGTCTTACTGTCTGCCATATGCTCATGGTTTCACCCGTGTCACCAGTGACTCAACATTACTTTGCAACAACAACTCAGGGAGCTTTTTTTAATGGAGAAATTAAAAAACATAATAGTCGCTGAAATTTCCTTTAGGGAATAAGAACAAAAACTGCCTTCAGCGAAGTGCGCCAACATCTGAGTCACACATTTTTTCTAATCGGTCGTTCGAAAAGTTCTTGGACAGAACTGCTTGAAAATAATTTCGTTTGCATCTATGCAAGAAGATTAACCCTTTAACTGGCAAGATACTAATCAATGACAAAGTAATTATTCCTTGGTTTTCCATCAATTTTCGCTCGCTTAAAAGTTCACCAAGTGAAGTCTCAAAATATTTGAACCGTAAATAAGATAAATACGCAGTTATTTTCCAATAAAGAGAATGAGACTGCTTCGTTACAAAAAGAAAGAGAAAGAAAATAAATGTTTTGTTACGTATGACACACTGAACTATCGGACACACTCAACGCCTTACAGCTACTCTGGAGAACTGTATGACTTGCCCTGATGTTTATGAAATAGTACTTCCGGTTCAGGGCCATTTCAGCGCCAGTCTTGTGCTTCTGCAAACAGAGAAGCCTACATTTCTGCGAGAAAGTGCGTAATTTCTTTAGTAGGTACAAGTGAAATGTTGAACTGCGCCGTGTCTGTCGAACGCACCAGCAAGAAGAACCACTGAGGTGCAGTGACTCCCGTGGTTCAGGAAGTACAGGCTAATCGAATGAACCTAAGGCCTGAGCACCTGCAGACGCAACGTCACGCAAGTGAGTCGCTGTATGCAATGTTACGAAGCAAACGGATAGCAAAGCGCGAAGGCAATAAATCTGCGACTCGATTCCTGCTGAAGCCGCCATTTGACACAGCATGTATATAGGCGGCTGGCCCTTGGCAAAAGTGATGGCTCAGAGCCCAACGGGCTCACGCTATCACTGTTGCCGGCGTATCGTGCACTACCGCAGACATTTATTTCACGATCTCTTGTAAGAGAGCAGGTACAGTTGGGCCTTATCTACTCAATTGCGCCAAAGTCAACACAGCCTCACTTCCTTGTGAACGAACAATCAAGCCTGAGCCAGATGGATACTCGCGTATGTTTCGCGCCATTTAGACGAAGACAGAAGACACCGAACACAGACGAGCACTGAATTTCAACTGAGTGTATTTGCACTTCAGCAGTTTTTTTTTATGCGCCAGAACGTGCCTCTATTACACTATACACAAAAGAGCAAAATATAAGACGATAAAAACGTAACCCAAAAGCTGTAAGCAAAAAAAAAACGCATCAACGGTGGGACGAAATGTGAAAGATAATACACACCTATATCACACAAAGCGAACTGATCTTAGGTATCGAGAAGGCACGATGATTTATACTTCAAAAACGGTGCCTTCAAAATAAAAAGCCGAACAAGCACAGGGCGTGAAATGTCTAACTTGTCCTGGTTATAAGTAAAGTGGGTGTCTAAAAGAAGAAGTGATAAAAAAACACGGAAAGCATGTGATGATGAAACAACAAAACATAACAACCTAGAGAACATATATCGGCGTCAGTTACTAAGACCAGCTTGCGCTCTCGGCGAAACCCGAGCTATACAAACCCAAAAGCATGCAGAATCAATAAAAAGATAAGCAGGAACAGACCAATCCGAACAACCTGAAACCGGGGTGACAAACAACGCTCTGTGAAAAACGATCCGGTTCGTCTCATTTATGTCAAAGAAAACAAACGTCAAGCAGAATAAAAGATCACAAATACATGGAAAAGCAGGTGAGAGAGAAACGACAAGTCAAACTAAACCCTCTAAAAAGTCAACCTCAGCGTCCGTTAGTGTAACTGAAGGCATGCTTACACGTTCAACGGCAGCTTTTCTAATAATAAAAAAAAAAACGCTTCAAGTTCGCGTTCAGTCCTATCCTTGGTTTTTTTTTTTTTTTTCAGAAATTTGGTGCCGCTGAAATATGGTGTGCAGCCGCAACACCTGCAGTGCTCGGCTATAGGAAGCCACCAGTGTTATTGTGCACATTCTGGTTGTGCTCCTTTGCGCGTTCATCCAAACATCTGCCCAATTGTCTTATGCAACAGTGGCCACAGCTTAGGGTGATGTCATAAACCGCATTTGCTACACATTCTGTTTACTTGTTTCGGCGCCGAATAGAGCATTGTGGTGACGGTTGCCATTTAGACATGCTGCACAATTTCGACAATTTACGAGGGGCCGAGAATAATACCTGAACATTGTGCTTCAACGCAACCCTCTTGATATTGTGTGAAATTTTATGCGTGTAGGGTATCACTTGTACCTGCCTCTTTCGGTTCCCTTGTTCTTTTCCTCCGTCGGACCGCTTGATCTTTTGAATCAACGAGTCGACAACCTCCGATAAGAAGGCTTGCTGACGTGCTAATAAACTCAGTTGAAAGTCAGCGCACGTCTGTGTTCTGCGTGTCTCCTGTCTTCGTCTAAATCGCGCTAAGCTTATACAAATACGTACCAACTTGCCAAGTCAGAGTGCTGTTAGACCAGATGGCTAGGTCGCCTTAACAGAGTCAACTAAAATACTCGCGAAGATGTGGATCATCAACAAAAGATACGCGCATTCTTACAAGCAATAAACGTATGAAGGATGATAATTCTGAAGGCCCGTTGCTTTTTTTTTTTTTTTGACACAACACGAATGAAAACGTATTTGTCAAGATCGTATCTGTATGGGCGTGAGCGTGACATGCATTGCAAGGTGATATATTCAGTTCTCTCCATTGCACGCACTGACTCCGATGTGTGGAAGTTTCAAAGCTTTCGAACTATCCCTACTGAAACGTTCCGTATGATGTCCAATAATTTCGTATGTTTCCGTAAGAATACATATGTTTCCCATATATTTTCCATATATTTCCGTAAGATTCTTACACGAAACATACGGAATTATTGGACATCGCATAGGGATAGTTTCAGTAGGGATGTATCAAATAGCTTAACAAAATTCTCTGCAGGGCTAGTTCGTTCACAATCGTAAATACCAGAAAGCGCAAATTAGACGCAGTACAGAAAAAAGAAGGCATATGCATAGGACAAGCGCTACTCACAACTAAGATTTATCTAGTTGTTTTGATACATACATACATACATACATACATACATACATACATACATACATACACACACACACACACACACACACACATACATACATACATACATACATACATACATACATACATACATACATACATACATACATACATACATACATACATACATACATACATACATACATACATACATACATACATACATACATACATACATACATACATACATACATACATACATACATACATACATACATACATACAAGTACCACAAATGAAGACGTCCACAAGTTGGAATTTGGCTATACAAACAAACATACCGCATTCCTTAATTTCAAAACTCGCACGTGTAGGCTAGCTAGAAGATCACATTTGCTGTAACGAATGCCATAGTTACTGTCAATTAACCTGCTTCGGTGGGGGTATTTAGTGTCGGCTGGATGAAAAACTTTTTTGATGATTTTTGGTAAAACGTAAATAAACTATCAAATAAATAAAAAAATGAGTGGAATATATTTCAGAATATAATTTTTTTGCTCACACCTTTACCACTGGTTACTCAAGACAAACAAAAAAAGCCAAAAAAAGTATCCAGTTAGGTCGATGAAACAAGTAGCGCCATAATAGGAGTGCATATATTGCAGCCCTGCTTCAAACACAGTGCAAGCTTGATACCCCGCCTGTGAGAATACTTGCAAAATGGCAATATGACACCGACACAGGCTGTAAACATGGAAGGTAAGCGGTTCAAGTGCGCACTGACGCCACTTCCGCTTTTCCATACGCCGAACTACCTCTCTATATCTGTTCCCACTCTCGCCCCGTGTCGACAGCTCGGCCGCTAATATATCTGCACACCTCACTCCAACACTCAGCATCACCGCGCCCACAGCGACCGAGCCGCACTCGAGTCTGTACGATGGCCTGCTACGAAGGTGAGCACGACTTAATGCGCTCGTGATCATTCCTGTTATATTGTGCTAGAGAACAACCAGGCAGTATAAGGTGTTGTACAAGTCTGTGGCCATTAGCTCGAAAGACTGCATTGCAAGTATTCAACAATTGATGAAACCACAGTAACAAACTACCGACCAAGGCGGCAATCCACGAGGCCGGTAATTGAAGCCATAGGCCTAATAACAGTGATACTAATCATTTGAAGCATAAGTGATGCTACATCACCGTAAAGATGGTCAAGTTTGAGACTTGACGAGTGCCACTGGGCTTTATGCCACGAAACAGAAAAACGTGATTCGCCGATGCTTATTGTTGCTTTAATCCGTTAGTCTTCATTCTACATAACCATATAGAATTTTGACGTGGTTGGTCGGAAGGATGTGACCATTGTCAACAGACATGGTTAGAGGCGGTACACCGTACCTTCGTGTGCTCTAATCCTAAATAGTTGAAATTCTGTCTCCATTTCAAGATATATATGAGGTTAAAATGATAAAATCAAGCATTTACACTTCGCAACTATCGCAATACATTTAAGCTAAGTGAGCTCTATGACCGCATATAGCAGCCATTGGAGAGTTATATGATGATCATATGTGGGGTTTAACGTTCCAAAACCACCATATCATTATGAGAGACGCCGTAGTAGAGGGATTCGGAAATTCGGACTACCTGGGGTTCTTTAACGTGCGCCCAAATCTGAGCAAACGAGCCCACAGCATTTTCGCCTCCATCGAAAATGCAGCCGCCGCAGCCGGGATTCGACCCCGCAACCTGTGTGTCAGCAGCCGAGTACCAGAGTTATATTACCATCTGCCGAGTTGAAATCCTAGAAGCACTCATGACAAAAGTAATATTATTTAATAAAGGCCCTCAACGTCAAACTTCGTACGCCATTCATCGATGAGTCGTTGGTCATCGCCATAGAGTTCCATACAATAATACCTAGAGGGAAATCTGGCGCTGCGATTGTGTACCCCCATGGGAATTATGGGAAGTACAGGCTTCGTATTGGATAGTGTTAGCTATCAAACTGCCTACAGATCTTTTTCTACAATTTTAGTTTCGTTCTTCGCGCAGCGCGGTTAGTGGGGTGCGGTGAAAACGCTGAAGCAGTGCTTTTGTTGTTTGAAGAGGCTAAAGACAACTAAGTCCTTTGATTTGCTGTGACTTTGAGGCTTTACGAGTCGTATCCGGCAGTTTAAACGAAGGTCGTCCACCCACCGCTGCGCATAGATTTAGCGTCTCATGCCATGCAGTGCAAGATATTCCATCGAGTTCGTGTTTTTTCACGAGCGCGTCTTGCCTAAACTCATTCGAAATGACTGCAAAACGACGGTGAAACAAAGTAGACGCATCGTCACGCTTCCTTGACTTCACAACAAAACGAGAGGTACGTTTGGGGCAGAGTACCGGCCGACCACTTGGACAGACTCACCTGGCATCGCAGCAGATGAAACGTTAAGTGTTTGTCACTTAATGCTGTACTCTAATTTTCATAAATAGATAATGCGTACTTTCGAGTGCAAAACAAGCATGTTTGTTTTTAAGTGTTGTAAAAAATTTTCATTATATCTTGATGCTAAATGTAGAACGCAATGGCAGAGCAATGCATACCCTAGTGGCTAAATTTGTCCAGCTTTCACTTCTGCCTTGTGGTCATGGAAACATTTAGCAACAAGATTTACATACAAAAGAATAAAGCAATTTTCATATAAATATACCTTCATATCACTTTGTTTTACATTCGGCAAACAAGCGTCGCGAATCTCAAGAACGTAATCCATCCAAAGCAGACCCAAAGCCTGTACTTCCCATCATGCATCGGGGTACACGCGCCGCTGAAGGAGCCCACGTAGACACTAGCGCCAGATTTCCCTCTAGGTATTATTGTATGAAACTCTATGGTCATCACGTTATGAAACAACCTGAGCCATTGCCCTCGCCTTTACTGAGTCAGAGTGGTCACAAATAGGGCGGTGCAGCGTTCAATACCCTTGCCTGCCGAATTTGGTCGGTGGGCCTGTAGAGGCGTATAGAATAATTAATTAGCGATTCATCCGCGCTTTCAACTGCGATAAAGCCACGAGTCACACTGAATAAGGCGACAAAGAAACTTTCAAATGGAAGCGCAAGCAGAGCGCATATACTTTAATGAGAAAACCACACGCATCTGAACATCTTTCATATTTTCTTTTTTTTTCTGTCACGTACAAAAGCAAGGCATCAGACAACGCTTAATTTCCTTTCACATTCCCTGAACAGTTGCGGGTTTAGTTATGCAGTAAATGAAACTCACTTAGGCGCAGCTTCAAATTCAATACGCGCATTGTAAACATTAGTCGGCAAACTAACTCATGTGTCTACTCACCAGACTCACTGAGACTCAGACACGCGACTCGATCCGAGTCTGAGTGAGTTCGAGTGAGCAATCTGTTGAGGAGTACGAGTTAATCCGGCTGAGAAAAAGTTTTATGAGTCTGAATCCGAATGCGTACCAAGGACAAAATGTGTTTGTTGAGAAAGTCTTAGTGAGCTCCACACGATTTTGCGGCCTATGATAGTATAAAGCATGAAACAAATGTTCTGTCAACGAAGAAATGACGGTTTGCTGCAATTGTCATCACATTCGTTGGACCACAGAAGTATGCCGAGAAAGAACAAAAACAATCGCTAATCAATTACTAGTTTCATACTCACGTTGAAGCACACAGCTTGTAAAGTGGTCAGCGTGTAATAAGTTATATGGACGAAAACTCCCAAAAAGTCTGCATGGTGCAACGTGCTCCTTGCTAGTCGGCTGTGATCTGCTGTATTCTGGACCGCATACTGACAGGATGGTTAACAGGACGGATACTGCTCACAGATATCTTCCCTCAATGGCACGTTACGCGTTTATTGTGAATGCACAGGCAATGAAATGTTTACAATGTACGCATATTGCGTCGGAAAGGGGAAGGAACGCAAAGATGCAACTTCAGCCATGGAACATGACCGCGTGACAAAATTGTACCCAACACACTGAAAAAGAACGAAAGAAGGAAAAAAATGAAAGAAAAAACAAGTCTAGATTTACACCCATCAACCCCCGGCCTGCGGATACGTCCGTCGGCTCTGCTTCCTGTCAAGCTGCGAAATCCCACTGTCAACGTGTGATGAGTAAGGTAGCGGCGTTTGTGCTTTACGTCATGAGGGGTCGGTACGATTTGACGCTTCAATTCAGTCTATAGTTCTTTCCTCGTGTTTCATCCCTGTTACGAATGTGGCATCGCCTATGCCTACCACCCCTGCCAGAGGCTCGTGAGCGGTAGGTGACATGAAAGGAACAGAACTGAGCACAATGAATGTTTCATTTATGCCAGTGCAAAGTGTAATTTGTCCCTACCGTATAATCTATCAGCCTCTGCGCTTTTTGAAGGAAAGAGGGAGTGAAACGAGAGGGGAGGGGGGTGCGTACTAGGAGCTTTTTGCAAGCACCATCCGAAACTACATTCAATCTGCCTTTTGCGGCTATCCCAACCTAACCCCTTCACCTAACACTTCCCGGAAACACTGGCAGTCCACCCTGCTCCGCTGCTCTGACAGGACGGCCCATCGGGCCTTGGTGGAGCGTACCCGGGCCGCGGCCGACGCTGACGGGCTGCCGAAAAAAGGAGCCCACACACCCCAGCGGCCCCATCAGGGCCGCTCCTCACCATTCCTGTCTATTCATCGATTAACATTTTTCAGTCAGACCGCGTGCACGAATGTCGTTCCCGAAAAAATACATTATTGGAAAGCTTCGTGAGAACATATACGGAATGGTGTCCCGCCGTGGTGGTCTACTGGCTAAAATACTGGACTGCTCACCCGCAGGTCGCGGAAGCAAATCCCGGCTGCGGCGGCCGCATTTTTGATTGAGGAGAAAATGCTGTAGGCCTGTGTGCTCATATTTGGGTGCATGTTATATAAAGAACCCCAGGTGGTCGAAATTTCTGGATCCCATCCCCACGGCGTCTCTCAAAATCATGTGGTCACATTGGGACGTTAAAACACATATATCAATCAATCAATCAATCAATCAATCAATCAATCATATATGTAATGGTACTAAGTGTATGTGATGAGCAGGCACATCCATACAAACTGGCAGCTAGCGCTGCACATCTAGTTGGTGCCGCATTATTTGGTGTTAACGGACTACACCCAGGGTCCAACAAAGATTTGAATTCAACTGTGCTTGCACAGGGCAAGCGCTTCGCGCAAAAATTTCGCCAACACTTGGTATCATCCAAAATATAGTTCACAGTAATTTCTAGAAATCTCAAAGCTCTGACAATAACGCCTATACAGGGTGTTTCAAAAAATGTGTCCAATATTGTTTAAAAATCAGCAAAAGACGTTATTTCCTCGCTGTCTTCACAGCTGCTTTTTCTGTAGCGGCAGGCATCTTAAGAGGGTTGAAGACATCATTGGGAAGAGTAATTAGGACAGTTAAATAATTACCTTTTTAATTAGTTCAGGTCGGCAGTTAAGCCAAACGAGAGAATTCAGTTCCTTCACACGAAAAACCAATTTGCCGCTTTGACATTGTGAAAAAGCGGCCTCTAGCAGGAACTACGATGTAATGAAATTCTCCCCAATTCTGTGGTGAAACCGAGACTGAAACGCGAATTTGAGACTGAAACGCGAAAATAAGCGCATTTGAAATGAGGGAGCGTTGTCATATCAACCATCAACCGATTCCGTCGTGTGAGTGTGCGGGATGCGCTCGCAATTACAACGCGCATGACGCACATACGTTAACAAACTGGAAATAACTTCACCCCTGTAACCACTGTTTTGAAGAGTGACTTCATTGTGATCGTCTGCTTGTTACGTTCATCGGTCCTTTGGTTTCGGTTTCACCGCGGAATTAAGGAGAATTTCATTATTTCGTAGTTATTACTAACGTAGGCTGCTTTTCAGAAATCTCAAAGTCGCAATGTTCTTCGCCTCAGGGGCTTGAATTATCTCATTCGACTTAGCAGCCTCGCTCCAATGATCAAAAAGTTAATTAATTGAATTGCCTAAATTACTGTTCAGATGATGTCTTCAACCCTATTAAGATACCTGCCGCTACAGAAAAAGCAACTGTGACGACCGCGAACAAATAGCGTCTTTTCGTGTCTTTTAAACAATATTGGACACATTTCTTGAAACACCCTGTATATGTTCGAAACGCATTCGTACTAAGTGCGGAGGCTTTTAGGGGATCGAGCTTTCGTATGTTTTCGTTTTTGTTTGGCGTAATAAAACAGGCATAGCCATTTGTGGCACGTTATAGCTCTCCCCTAATAGTTGAGTTCATCTTGCTCGTCGAGTGCCGTGATGGCGATATCAGGTGGACAGAACTTTAGGGGCCCCGGCTGTCGTTTTGTGTCGTATGATGTCACCGCTTTTTGCCAACGCATGTAAAATAACGTATATAAATACAAAAAAGAGGAATCAAGTGAGAAATAGAAAGAGAGAAAGGGAAGAGCAGGAATGAAATGGAAAGAAATAGGGAGAAAAAAGACAGAAAAACTAGAAAAGAGAAGAAAGAAAGAAAGAAAGAAAGAAAGAAAGAAAGAAAGAAAGAAAGAAAGAAAGAAAGAAAGAAAGAAAGAAAGAAGGAAGGAAAGATAGAAAGAAAGAAAGGATGAAAGAAAGAAAGAAAGAAGGAAAGAAAGGAAGAAAGGAAGAAAGGAAGAAAGAAAGAAAGATAGAAAGAAAGGAAGAAAGAAAGAAAGAAAGAAAGAAAGAAAGAAAGAAAGAAAGAAAGAAAGAAAGAAAGAAAGAAAGAAAGAAAGAAAGAAAGAAAGAAAGAAAGAAAGAAAGAAAGAAAGAAAGAAAGAAAGAAAGAAAGAAAGAAAAGCTGACAGTCCAGTATTCTACCACAGAGCTACGCCGGTGTTGGTTTTTCTCTCTCTCTCTCTTTAATGCATGGAAATAATGGATGCTTGTGACTTGTTGGCAACTTGCCTTAGGCAGGCTTGATGTCGGCAAAGCAATCGCGTTAATACGACTTATAAAGCGTTTTAAAACAGCGAAAGAACAACCAGTCGTCGCACAATGGGAATAGCGTAACGAGTCGGCCGTTCAATGCTCTAACCTATTACAAAAGCTTGTTCTTGTTGCCCTATTAGCTGTGGTGCATACCCCCTTCAGCCATAATTTCTCATCGCCGTCTGCCACTGCATGAACAATTGGCACGAAATTCCTTGCAAGTGTTTAGCGGATACCGCGCTTTTCAAAAGAATGACGAAAAATAGCATAAATAGCGAATGCTGGCCTACTACCTAAAAGTTTATTATAATGTCCTAGTGGGTATCAAGCAAGTGTGCTTGCAGTAGTTACCCAAATAGTGTTTAGAAAAGACTCTGAAAGGCCGCTCTTCTAGCTTTCGCTGTGACTGTGCTGCGCCTTCCGTGCAGGCCTGGCGTTTTTTTTTTTTTTTAACACAATTTGACTTCTATCCTAAATACAGACTATTTGCAATAAAAAAGCGCACTATACTGGCACCTCAGAAAGAATAACAACAAAGTGACGCGCACAGCGCATGCCACACGGATGCGCGAGATAAGGGAATCACACAGGATGCGGGATTAAGCTAACGCGTTCAAGATCCAGTAAGCACCGACCAACACTCGCCGTACGCACACCTCCCATGAACGCACAGTTTTCGTTTTGCGTACGCCCAGTTTGAGGTATACAGCATTAGTTTACCGTGCACAGCTTAGGAAACGTGCACTCCACTCTATAACGTAAATAAACTAGCGTTTGAGTGTTTCTTCGCGTTGTCTAGCCACGAAGCAGATAGAAAATTATGTAGGGTTGGACGTCCCGAAACCACCGTATGATTATAGGAGACGCCGTAGTGGACAGCTCTGGAAGTTTGGACCACCTGGGGTTCTTTAACAATTAACATTCACCCAAATCTGAGCACACGGGCCTACAGCATTTCTGCCTCCATCGAAAACGCAGCCGCCGCAGCCAGGATTTGATCGCGCGACCTATAGTCGCAAAGCATTAAGCAGTAATAATTATTATCGGTCGGCCCAACATAGAAGCCAAGTCGGCCCAACATACAAGCCGATCTTTTTCAACGACGACTAGGGCTTTTGAGTGTTAGGGCTAGTTGAAGTTCAACTTTTGTTAAGGCCGTGCAGAGCGAAGCATCACAGCCGACGAAGACAAACTCTTACTGCCAACGGAAAGTTTACTCTTTCGTACAGGCATTTTGCCAGAAAAGCACAGAGAAAAAACCAAGGAAGGATTACCAAACACCAAATACAAAAAGACCCCCACCATTGGCGCCAGCGTCTTCCAGGAATGCCAGCTCTCGGGCTCCCTCGGACTCACTCAGACTCGGATCAAGCCGTGAGTCGAAGTCTGAGCGAGTCCGGGGGAGTAATATCTTGCTGGAGTCCTGAGTCCGAGTGAGCCCGTTTGAAGAAAATTTTCGTGAGTGTGAATCCCATTGATCTCGGCCCAAGAACACTTTGGTGAGTCTTAGTTGAAGTGAGTTATACTTCTTGAGTGAGTCTCAGTGAGTTCCACATTTTTTTGCAAACCTACAGTCCTATCTACTCATCTTCAGAATTACTATCAGCCTTGCCAGGATTAACGTTTCAATTCATGTCTATTCACACGTATTCCAAAGCACATTTGTTCATACACCATTTCAATATTTATTGGTCAGAGGCGTAAATTACGCGGGAGGTGCCTTGACGTCGCCTCTCCTTCATTTCTTTCAGAAAAGTTCTTGATAAATACAATTCACGAAGTCTTCTCTTCAAAGAAGTGTGACTTAACTGGTTTGCGAGCCCACATAACTCGTATTCGAAGGTACTATTTCAAATGCTGCCAAGGCGAGCACCAATGGATTGAAGTGTTGGTGTTCCGCCATGGTGGTCTAGTGGTTAAGGCACTCGGCTGCTGAGCCTCAGGTCACGAGATCCAATCCAGGCCACAGCGGCTGCATTTTCGATGGAGGCGAAAATGCATGAGGCATGTGTGCTTAGATTTAGGTGAACGTTAAAAAACATCAGATGGTCTCATTTTTCGGAGCCTTCACTACAGCGTCTCTCATATCCATATGGTGGTTTTAGGACGTTTAACCCAACAGTTATTATGTTGGGGTTAAAGAGCATTCGCACATTGGCCGATAAAACCAATTATATAGGCTAACGGACTCATGAGTCGGCTCACTGGGACTCAGATCGAATTGTGAGTCTGAGTGAGTAATATTTTGGTAAGCTTGAGTCTGAGTTCGGCTGAAGAAAACTTTCGCGAATGTGAGTCTATGAGTCTGGCTCGCAAAACTTTTGGTGACTCTTGAGTCCGAGTGAGTTAAAAGCACCATACGTATTTCACAAATGAGTCTGAGTGAGCTCCACAGGTTTGGCCGGCCTATGCTTATGCATAGACATTCTTCACGTACCATGAAAGCTGCTTCCACAAGGGCTGCACCTCTCCTCTTTTCTTTTTCAATAAATGTTTTCACTGATTTACTCCACAATTCTGAGGGTACTGGTGTCGATAGCCCATGTGCGAAAAAATTACCTTAGCCCTTTGGAACAAGGACGTACATGGCTGCAAACATCCCTTTTTGTTTCTAACCTTGCACATGCTTTTGCAGGCGATCATTCCAAAATCTTCCGGTTCAGCACACATGAAAACACCACAGTGCAAAAGCATTTTCTACACGGCACCACGCACACTCCATAAGTCCACCGCGGGGCTTCCCATCAAACTCGGGCTCTTGTTTTTTTTGTACAGCGCCTCTTTGTAAGAACGACTTTCTGGCGAAACCACCGGTGCGCAGGAACTGACGGTGCCCGGTCGTCACGCGTTGCGCTTCGGCTCAGAAGCGATCACAATCCGCTGCACCTGTTCACTAATTGGGTTCAGACACTAGAATAATTCACACGGACTTCCTTCGCTGCCACGACACCGCGTGGAGTAGTGCTGCTGGCGGTTACGGCCATCTTGTCAGTTTTGCTCTCGCTAGGCCGAAATTTTGTTAAAGAGTCACCGAACGCAACCACCGAGCGTGCCCATTCCTCGTGCGGGCAAACGCACGCATATAGGTTCAGCGCAATCAGCGCAGTCTTGCTCCATCTCCCGCGTTGCATGCGTTAGGCTGTTGTGCGCGCTAAACTAAAATTGTCTATTAAATAGTGAGGAGGAACGTGGAGCCATTATGTTTGTTAACCCACGAGCATTTGACTGCGAATCGATGAATACAGCAGGCCACCTCGTTGTTAAAGCCTGCGTGGCTTGTTCCTCTTACCCGTGTACTTAGATTTAGGTGCACCTAAGAACCTCACTTGGTCGAAGCATCCAGCGCTCATATATACGGCGTCCATCATAATCATGTCGCGACGTAAAACCACAGCAATTATTTTTTTTCTTTCGTTAAATTGGCTTACTGTTTATTCCCTACTTTACTCACTTTCTACTAATATCTCCAGAACTCCAGTATGAAACCTCCTGACTCATTCCTGGTGTTTCCGATAGCACAAAATCTGAGAGTTAGTATAAATTCTAGCAAATGCCGAGCACGTTAATGTACACGCTGCTCGCAATGTCTCGCAGCATACCGTCGCAAGTCCATCTGCCAGTGGGTAATGTGCCACGGCAGTCATATACCTGATGGTGCGGTGCCCGGCGGTGAAGACGACGGGGAGACCATATACGTCGGACGCGCATTACACGACGGTGATGTCCTTCCGGGCAAAGTGGTGCCTTCGCACAGCTGCTGCTACGTCTCCCATGCTCGCGCCGAGCACAGCTACAGCAGCTATCAAGTGCGTAAAACTTCACGTTGTGTCAGCCCCTCACAAAAATTCTTCACGTAAGCCCACTGGCCAGCATTCCGGCTACCTGAATGCATGACAGCCATTGACGTTGCAGCCAGACGACCGCTCGGTCGATGGCTCATCGCAGATGGCATTTGCGCGAAAGAAATTTTGTGAATACTGGCACTGAGGATATTGTTATTGAATATTAAGTGAACGAAAAAATATGGAATCGAACTCACACGTTTGTAAGTATGTTCTTTACACAATTATTTATTGTCAGGTAGGTTACTTTTACCGATAGCAGGAGCTGAGTCTTGACCCAGTCATTTTCCGGGCGTATAATCTTTCCTCTCTGGTCGCCTAGTGAATCAAGAAGGAAATAACACAGCAGGGTGAAGAAAAATTGCGTTTCAGCGAACGTAGCTCAATCGGTTGGCAGGCTGTCATTGTGGCAGCACTGTTTTTTGATTGGAGTGAGTGATGCACCTTGTAAAAGGGGTCCGGCAACTAAAACTGAAAAGCTCCAATCAACCGTATAGACTGCCAACCTATGCACATGCTTAGCAATTCAGAGTAGATTGTCATATCGGGAAATGAAAGCATTTCAGCGTGCACCCACTCTGAGCCACGTGTTTTGGGAGGTCTACAGCCTTTCTAAGAGATATCAAAGTCGCAGCCCATGTGGGGGCACCTTTTGTTCAGAAGCCGGTGGCAACGCTTTTAGTCTTTTGGTTGTTCCAAATCTGGGGAACGATAGCCACAATTCATTGCCATGCTGATTAGGAGGACCATTACTTGTACTGGAGCCCACAGTGAGACCTGGCGAGAGGAAAAGTGTAAGATTAAAACACATAGATGTATATAACAGTATAGACATATACTTGGGTCGACACTCCACACAGCGCAAGTGAGAACTCTATTGAAACCCAGTCAGGGACACAAAGGCACCATGACAGTGCAATGAGCAACAAATGCATTCAAAAGAAATAGAATTTACAAAAGGGTCAAAAGGTCCACCGAAGCTCGCTGTAAGTCACTTCGGCTTGCGACTCTTCCCTATAGAGAATACCAGACACTATCCCGAAGCTCACATACACTCCTTGCCATTGCTGCCAGGTAAGACATTGTTTTACACAAAACCCAAAAAATTGCATGCTGGGTGCTCTTCTGCGTCCACCTGTACTTGTGACCGTGATTTAGAGATCCTCGAGATGTCATCTACTCGAATGCGAGTCCTGTCATATTTGCCAAATGTCATCGTTCTTGGGTATGGTTTGTATAAGACGAAAGCCGGCAATACGCAGAACTATAGACAATGATAACCGGGTAGGCTTGTGATATGTACCGAGAAAAAACATGCGCAAGAGTTCAATTTATGAGCTCATGGCTCATTGGTAAACGAGAACGCAGTCACGTTATCATATGCCAGCCTATATATTTCGACAGGTGCTAATCTCCGATGATCCTGACATGGCTTGGGTACCAGCTTCCGAAGGCTCGGTGCCAACTGGCGCCATCCAGGGCGGCATGACCAGTTCAGGAGAGCCGCTGTACATCGGCCGAACCTTCCACGAAGGAACGCTGACCATTGGAAAAGTGCACCCATCGCACAATTGCCTGTATATACCATACGGCGGTGACGAACACCACTACACCGACTATGAAGTGTTGGTTTGCAACACAATAAACTTCTGAAAAGTGCACTATGGAATTCAAAAGGCCTGCAGATAGTTATAATGTGTCAGGAAACCATGAATGAATAGCAACTATTGTATTTACTTTTTACACACGCACACACATTGAGAGAACTAAATATATAGAACTAAATATAGCTTGTATTGTAAGTGCGCCCAATTTATTATATATATATATATATATATATATATATATATATATATATATATATATATATATATATATATATATATATATATATATATATATATATATATATATATATATATATATATATATTATTTGACTATACTGACGACTCCAGCGGGAGTCATTTTAGAGTGGGTGACCATATATATGAGGTTGCACTTACAACTAAATCATGAGCACACAACATGTAGCATTATTAAAATAGCTTAACAGGAAAAAGATGCATCGAAAACGCAAAAGTGATCAAAAACAACATAAGCAAATCAGCTGGAAATAAATGTCTATTGTATCTGACTGTTGTGTATACGTTGTACCTTTCAGCTTCAGATGGCTTGTTCAGCCATTAGCGTAATATGTCAAAACTTTCACTTTCGTTTTAACAGGGATGTCAATAAATCAGTCTTCCCGTACTTCACACATTTCATTCTTTTAAATGCGAAGCATTTCTAAGGCAGCTTCGGCGACTTTGAGCGTATGTGTCTATCTATCTATCTATCTATCTATCTATCTATCTATCTATCTATCTATCTATCTATCTATCTATCTACCTATATATCTATCTATCTATCTATCTATCTATCTATCTATAGCTTCGGCGACCTTTAGCGTATCTATCTATCTATCTATTTATCTATCTGTCTGTCTGTCTGTCTGTCTGTCTGTCTGTCTGTCTGTCTGTCTGTCTGTCTGTCTGTCTGTCTGTCTGTCTGTCTGTCTGTCTGTCTGTCTACGGCTTTTAGTTCTCCTGGACGTTTAAGTAATGATATCGATACCAAATTTGGTATGGTATAACATGACTGTATGGTGAGCATAATTGAGCAGTGATAACTTGAAAATTATGACATGTATGTCCTGAATGTCATGATTTACATTTCATGGTCTTGCTCTTGCGGTGGTTTCGTTTACATCAGATGATGCAAAACTGGTATAGCACGGCCCGACTGCATGGCGAACACAAGTGACATAAGATAACATGAAAATCATGGCATGCATGTCATGTAAGTCATGAGCCATGACAACATGGCACACTCATGATGCGGTCGCGGCGGTTTCGCGAGTTTCACGTATACCAAATCTAGTATTACAGGACGTGAATGAATGACGAAAGTATGTGACTGGTGAACATAATAATTATGAGATGCGTATCATGTGACAACATGACTACATGCCACGCTCATGATTCGTTCATGGACATTTCACTAGCTTCACTATTATCATATTTGGTATTACGTGACACTAATGAACGACGAAGGTGTATGAAACATTTAAACATGATAATCATGACATCAGTGTGATGTAACAACATGACTACATGCCACACTCATGATGCCCTTGCGGCCGTTTTGCCAGCTTCACATATATCAAATTTGGTATTACTGCACGTGAATGGATGACGAAAGAATGTGACTGGTGCAAATATGATAATTATGAGATGCGTGTCATGTGACAACATGACTACATGCCACGCTCATGATTCATTCATGGCCATTTCGCTAGCATCACATATCATATTTGGTATTGCGTGACGCGAATGGACGACGAAGGTAAATGACACATATAAACATGATAACATGATATGAGTGTGATGTAACAACATGACTACATGCTATGCTCATGATGTGCTCGCGACCATTTCGCTAGTTTAACATTTGCCAATTTTGGTGTTACGTGACGCAAATAAATGAAGAAGGTATATGACTGGTGCAAACAAAATAATCATGTCATGAGTGTGATGTAAGAACATGGCAACATACCACGCTCATGATGCGCTCGCAGCCGTTTCGCAAGCTTCACGTATACCAAATTTGGTATTACGTGACGTGAACGGGTGACGAAGGTAAATGGCATGCCCAAACATGATAATCAAAATGTACATGTCATGTGAAACATGACTACACGTTACGCGCATAACCCATTCACGGCAGTTTCGCTAGTTTAACGTATATAAAATTTCGTATCACGTGACGTGAATAGAGGACGAAAGTAAATGACGCGTTCAAACGTGATAATCATGTCATTGAAGTCATGTACAGCATACTTTACATGCGCCTCGTAACGATGTGCTAATTTTAAAGTGACACATCAACATTCCTTATTCGTGCCTCGCATATCATCGATTCCTATTGTACGTGGGACCTGTCTTTTTTTTTCTTTTGGTAATAGCAATAACAAGCCCCATGCCCCCTTGAAGTCTTCCAGTAGGTTCTAAAACGTCGGTATCTATGCCACAATAATGGTTCAGTTTATAAAAGATCCAGAAAGCTTCTGAAACGATGAAGAAAAGATCCGCGCATATCCACGAGGTGGATGCTGCTGATGGAATGAGGCTAGGTTCTGAGGTCCATTATGTGTACTTGGAAGTCACCGAAAAAAGACGAATAGATGGGCGGACGCACGCACGCACGCACAGACAGACAGACAAACTGTCTATTTTTAAACTACGGTGTGGTCTGAGAATGGTTTTGTGCACAGATGTTTTGCACCTGCGCTTCGACTGTGCAAGGTGCCCGCACGGACTGAAGCCTATGGACATCGTGTGGTCACAAGGACTTATATTTTAAAAGAGATTGGCTTTAATATTCTGAGTAGCTCAATCTGCCAATGGTAATACCTGTCTTGGGTGATAGTGGCAATCTACCTGTCATAATTTGAGAGTGCTTCCTAAATGTGCTCCACCCCATTCTTATGCTTCTAGTTACTTCAACCTCGTGGCTCGGCTCCGCAGTTATTACCTGTCCTAAGTAGACATAGTTTTTTACAGCTTGAAGTGGACTATTGCCTGTCTCCAGGCGCTGCTCTCTTCCGAGGTTGTTGTACATTACTTTCGTTTTATGCAGATTAATTTTAAGACCCACCTTTCTGCTCTCCTTGTCTAACTCCGTAATAATGAGTTGCAATTCGTCCCCTGAGTTACTCAGCAATGCAATGTCATCGGCGAAGCGCAGGTTACTAAGGTACTCTCCATTAACTCTTATGCCTAACTGTTCCCACTCTAGGCCTCTGAAAACCTCCTGTAAGCACGCGATAAATAGCATTAGGGAGATTCCACCCCCCTGCCTTACAACCTTCTTGATTGGTATTCTGTTGCTTTCTTTGTGAAGCAATATGGTAGCAGTTGATCCCCTATATATTTCTTCCAGGATGTTTATACATACTTCATCGACGCCCTGATTCCGCAGTGTCTGCATGACTGCTGATATTTCTGCTGAAGCAAAGGCCGTCCCGTAATCTATGAAGGCTATGTATAGTGGTTGGTTATATTCTGAGCATTTCTCTATTACCTGATTGATAGTATGAATGTGGTCAATTATTGAGTAGCCAGTTCGAAATCCTGCTTATTCCGTTGGTTGATTGAATTCTAATGTTTTCTTATCTCTGTTAGCAATTACCTTTGTAAATAGCTTGTATACTACGAAGAACAAGCTGATCGGCCTGTAAATCTTCAAGTCCTTGCCATCTCCTTTCTTATGTATTAAGATGATGTTAGCATTCTTCCAAGACTCTGGTACTCTTCCCGTCAGGAGGCACCTCGTAAACAAGGTCGCTAGTTTCTCTAACACAATATGTCCTCCATCTTTCAGCAGATATGATGTTACCTGGTCCTCACCAGCAGCTTTACCTCTTTGCATGCTCTCCAAGGCATTTCTGACTTCTATCATTACTGGTGGGGTGTCATCTGGGTTACTGCTAAATCTTATAGTATTAAGGTCGTGGTTGTCCCGGCTACTGTACAGGTCTCTGTAAAACGCCTCCGCTATTTTAACTAACCTATTCATATTGGTAGTTATTTTGCCTTCTTTGTCCCTTAGTGCATACATCCGATTTTTGCCTATCCCAAGTTTCCTCTTCACTGCGTTGACGCTTCCTACATTTTTCAGAGCGTGTTCAATTCTGTCCATGTTATACTTTCTTACGTCGGATACCTTACGCTTATTATTCAACTTCGAAAGCTCTTCCAGTTCTATTTTGTCTGTTGTACTTGAGACTTTCATGATTTGACGCTTCTTAATGAGATTCTTCGTTTCCTGGGAAAGCTTGTCAGTGTCCTGACTAACTACCGTGCCTCCAACTTCCACTGCACACTCCGTAATGATACTCGTCAGATTATAATTCATTGTATCTACGCTAAGGTTGGTTTCTTCGATAAGAGCCGAGTACCTGTTCTGAAGCGAGACTCTGAATTCCTGTACTGCGTCTACTGCAGGCCTTTGTCCTGCAGTGGACGTAGTCATACTGATGATGATAATGATGATGATGATGATGATGATGATGATGATGATGATGATGATGATGATGATGATGATGATGATGAATACCTGTCTATAGTACACGTCTGTACGGGTGGTAATTAATGTGATTTCTGGTCCTCACTCGCAACCTACCTAGGCGTAGCGTGGTAAGGCGCCATTTTTAGAAAATACAAAATGCGAAAGTATGCATGAGCAAATGACAATGCGTGTTTCAAGAACATGCAATATTTGGCCATTAGCGAGCCTTAACGCCCTAAAGAAGCATGAGGGCTAGGCACAGTGTAAGAATATTTATTTTTACAACGTGAGACCAAGCTACAAACTCTATTCGATCGCAATGGTTGAGTGCCGTTTAGAATAATAAAGATCAGAAGAATCCACGCAAGTTTAGGCTCTCCCAAGTTGTACATAATTTACTTATTGCATTCATTGTACTGCAGCGCATGGATTAGCTAAAGCAGGAGTAATCGGCCCACCACGGTGGTCTAGTGGCTACGGTACTCGGCTGCTGACCCGCAGGTCGTGGGATAAAATCCTGGCTGTGGCGGCTGCATTTTCGATGTAGGCGGAACTGTTGTAGGCCCATGTACTCTGATTTGGGTGCACGTTGAAGAGCCCCAGGTGGTCGAAATTTCCGGAGCCCTCCACTACGGCATCTCTCACAATCATGTGGTGGTTTTGGGACGTTAAACCCCACAAATCAATCAAAGCAGGAGTAATCAGATTGCGTGAAATTAACACAGTTGAGCACAGCCGTGGGAAACTGTACGCCAAATCCACAGCATAACAGCAATGATGACTAACGCTGGCGTTCCATCGTCGCTGCAAGAGCCTGAGGACTAGAACTATAAAACAGTAACGAACCCAACTTTTTGATGCAGCGTAGGAAAAAACGTTACTTGTCAGTATTAATTCTTGAATTTTTTTAAACGACCTCCTTGTATTTCGTGAGGTTTGAGCTGGTCAGGGGTTGTGACTACCTTCACCTACTGATACGTTATAAACAGAACTCCCAGTAGAGTCTCCTTTTGACGATGTCAAAGTGACGCGTAAGCGCAGTTTTTATCTTGCAACTAACCATAGTGATGCAGTCTTACCTGGAGCATTGCTGTCGGGATCATGGAACCATCTTATTTATTTACAATACCATGAAGAGCTATGGTGTGAATGTATTACATAGGCGGGTTATCCAAACAAGTTTATGAGGAGATGCAAACTTACATGGTAAAAAAAAAATGCATGAATGAGGGGTGTCGCTGGATCCAACATTTAGACAAGTGGTTTTGTCTCCTTAGAACCAGCCACGGTCGAAGGTTGAAAGTGAGCAAAAGGCGCTACTTTTTCAGTCCTTGTTAGGAGCAAGTCACACTCGGCATCACAGCAGAAGGCATCTTTGATTAATCAGTTGAAAGACATTGTAGTGAACCACAATAGACGAGCCGGTTCTAGTTTGTGTACATTGATCCCATTTAAGTTGATGACCAAAAGCAAGTTTAAAGTCCATCCAAGAGAACAAAAAGTTGACTGAACGTTATAGTGACAGCCGCCATTAAAGACACCTGAACACACCATTACGGACACCTAAAGATTTAAGATTTTTTGCCATGGTGGTGATTGAAACTTTATTATATATATAAGGTGGTTGAGCCCCAGACCTCCGAGAGCAACCTGGCGAATCTCTTAGCAAGTTTTGTTCGCCAACCAGAGTTGACCATCTAAGAAGGTGGGTACAAAGCCGGTCTCACACGTGGAAATGGAAAGCTAGAAAATAAGGTTTACTACCAGGAACTTGAAACAGCTCGTTAAAGCATGGAAAAAAACGCCCCCACCTTCCGAAGGAAATCGCGAGGGAATTCGAATGCATTGCGTTGCGTCTATAACGGCGTTTCGCACGTGAGAAGCCAGCGTCAGGTGTTTTCTTCTTTTTTTTCTTACATCGTAGAACCAATAGCACCGTTCGCCGCACATGGCGTTTTTATGTCACGAGAAACGTGTTTCCAGCTTCAGTATCTAGCGTGCTCGGTTAAAAAATACTATGAAGTGAACAAAACAAACAGTTTTCTTGGCTCAGCGTTAGCGTTTTACAGCGGCGTCTCTAGCACACATTTCCGGGTGTTCTTGAGAGGCGCCCAGCCAGCGAATGGTCGAGAGTGAGACGCGACCAGGCTGGGGGCGCAAGGAGGAGAGAGAGATCGAATGGCGAGAGAAGGAGCGGCGAAACACTGCCTCTACCCTCTCCTACACTTTTTCGCACATTCTCCGGTTGCTAGGGGCGAGGATAAGCGCGCGCGCCCGTAGCTGTTTCTATGAGAGAGGGAGTGAGAGCGGAGAGTGGCACCGTAGACAACGCCGGATACCTGACATAGCCCGACTAAGAAATGCATTCGCATTTTAAAAAAACTTGGAGGGTGGCTGATCTTCACCTTCAAGAGTAGAACGCGACAGTATAAGTGCGACCCGTGCCTTCTCAACTGCTTGTCTAGTTTCAGTTCACGGTGGACTCGTCAACCAGCCGCATGGACTGGTTGACGAGTCCACCAATCGGGTTGACGAGTCAAACAACCAACCAACCAACCAACCTTTCCATCTATCTATCTATCTATCTATCCATCCATCTATCTACCTATTTATCTATCTATTCATCTATCTATCTATCCATCTATATATCTATCTATCCATCTATCTATCTATCTATCCATCTATCTACCTATTTATCTATATATTCATCTATCTATCCATCTATCTATCTATCTATCTATCTATCTATCTATGGACACGCCTACGTTTGGATGCCTTCGTGATCACTTCCTAAACTTTGTGCTAATTGAGACATTGATGTAAATGTACGACACGATACGCGCCACGAGTGGGACGTCTTGAAATGATCCCAATTACGTCAAAGGGGGCGACAACATTTATCCACAAATAATCAAACCAGCTCCAATAAAACAAAAACCTTCTGTTCATTACAACACGCAATAAAATGCTGCTTTTCCGTTCATCTTTGATTCATTGATAAAAGAACAGCTTGGAGTTACCTCGTGGAATGACCTGATAGTTTTAAAGTTCAGTTTTCACCTGATTAGGCTTAAGAGGGCGCCTCGATGCGAGCGCCCTCGTTAGGCTGAATAAGTGCTGCTGTCTAGCGGGGCCCACTTGAACCAAGCAAGCACAAAATTTTATTGCAGACACATCGTGCATTCTACTTCTGCTGTGAATGCGTTGCAGCGACGTAGTTACGAATAAGTTGCCTTTTTATTCTTTTTTGTTCCATTGAACGCTACGCAAATACAAATGTGTCTATGGCAATGGTTGCTGAAAGCATCACAAGATAATAACAATGCATTCCTACAACCCTTTGCGTATGTCAGCGCCCCCGAAGTAAAGACGGGCAACGTTGGGCAAGGCAGCTGCTACGTCAGAGGGGCCCGTTTTCAGGCGGGTGACTTGAAGTGCGCTAACACCGTGCGGGCCACTAAAACATGATTTTATTCCAAAATAAGCATTTCCTTGGCACAAAAGGAGCACTATATGAGGTTTCTGAATTGCTATTTCTGCAATCAAGGACTGATTGATTGATAGATATGTGGGATTTAAGGTCCCAAAACCACCATATGATTATGAGAGACGCCGTAGTGGAGGGCTCCGGAAATTTCGACCACCTGGGGTTCTTTGACGTGCACTCAAATCTGAGCACACGGGCCTACAACATATCCGCCTCCATCGGAAAAGCAGCCGCCGCAGCCGGGATCCGAACCCGCGACCTGCGGGTCAGCAGCCGAGTACCTTAGCAACCACCGCGGCGGGGCTGCAATCAAGGACGACCTACTATTTGCCCTTTGTCCCTTTAACCCCTCATATAACTGCTTCGGTGGAGTACTTGGAGTAAAAAAACGAAATAAATAAACGAAATAAATAAGTAAGCAAGTAAATAAATAAAGAAATAGACAAATACCTTCTGGCTATTTCATAATCTGCTTCTTTGGGCTCACAGCTTTACAATTAACGGTCACTTATGGACAAATAAAAAACAAAAAGAAGTATAAGCAAGTTGATGAAACCAGTATCCCCACAAAAGGAACTTCAACATTGCAGCTTGAAGAAAAAAAGCCACAGCTTTGGCGTAAAGGCGAAGCAATGAACGCTATAGCAACAAATTGGAAGGTCACGCGCCGAATGGAAAGCGGATCGAAACGTGCCCCGCGTTTCTACGCACAAATGAAGCACGAAACGTATACGTACAGATGAACGCGAATAAGCGTCTCCGTTGTTACTTCGCTGTGTCTGAAAAGCACTTCCTTTTCGCAAACGGAGACTGTGCAACTATTGCAGTGGCATTTGTGCCCCAGTAACTACAACAGAATCGCTCTATGGAAAGCCCAACGTCACCCAAGACGTACGATCTTCCTCACCGCAATAAGTGCACACGAGTGAGCGTCGACCCTTCTCCTCTGCGCGGGGCAAAAGCACGCGTGAGAAATGAGAGCACGCACCACCCCGTCGTGACTAGTCGTGACGATGTGGTGGCGTGCGCTCATTGCGCAATCTTGCTGGTAATGCTGCAAACACGCTAGTCCCCCCCAAGATGCCCGTCAACAGTGGTATGTGGTAGATATACTTTTATTTTTGAACGTTAAAGGAGATGCTCCTCTCTGGCTCAGCGCTTAGCGGCTCGCGTCCACGACTCAGAGGTCACACGTTCGATTCTTCCGCGTGCCGGAGTATTTTTCTCGAGTATATATATATATATATATATATATATATATATATATATATATATATATATATATATATATATATATATATATATATAAATATATATATATATATATATATATATATATATATATAATATATATATATATATATATATATATATATATATATATATATATATATATACTGAGTGACGCTGACACCTGCGGCAAATTCCAGCGAAGAGTGTCCAATATTAATCTAGCGAAAAACAACACAAGGTCAAAGAACATGAAACACGGCCCTCCTTGCAATAGCGGAAGCTTTAAATAGCGAGTAAGAATGTATGTGACAAACAATATTACGCCTAAAGTCGCTGCGTGGTTCGTGTGCGCGCTGACACCACTTCCGCTTTTTAATAAGCATGCCGAGTTCACTTTCTATCTGTTCACACTCTCGCCACGTTTCGACAGCTCAGCAGATAATATATCTCCGAGCCACAGCGGTAGTCGGCATCCCTGCACCACAGCGAACAGACCGCACTCGAGCTTATACACAATGGACTGGTTGCGAGGTGAGTACTACTGTATGCACTCGTGATTATTCCTGTGATATTTCGCTCAAGAAAAATTTAATGGTACGGTGTGGTAGACGTCTGTGTATGTTAACTTGAAAGACTACATTGAAAGTTATTCATCAATTTATGGAAATACAGCACACCTTCTGTAGATCAGGGCTACAATGCACGAAGTCGGCAATTGAGGCCGGATGCATTATAAGTGGTTGTACAATTGGTCTATATATATATATATATATATATATATATATATATATATATATATATATATATATATATATATATATATATATATATATATATATATATATATATATATATATATATATATATATAGGTGAGCTCCGCACATATGTACCTATAACTTTAGGTCTATTTGTTCGTGAAGATACAAGGAGTTCAACCGCTACAAATACTGCTATTACAAACGAAAATTTTAAATTTTAGGAGCGGAAAACAGTGTGAATCTGTGAAAACAACAACAGTCGGACCACGTGTTTTTACGATCGCTTGTAGCTTCGTTGACATTCTACCGGGAAACTTCTTACTTATAAAGTTAAAAGTCCTTAGGGTAGACCTGACGCTGCTAAAGTTTGATCAGGCTAGGTTTAATAGTTCCAGAGTTATTCCGCAATCAAAATTAAGCCTAATCACTAAAAAGATTAAATTGGTAATATCACCTCGCAAACGCATTTAAATTTTGTCCGCTTAATATAATAATAGACCGCACCCCATAGACTACCAGAAGGCCCAATTCCGTACACTCTAGGCCCTTAATTAAGGAGGTAATCAGCAAAAAGCTCCTTTCATTAAAACAAATTTTCAAAAGGAGCTACAAGCGCCACCGAAAAATAGCTAATATCTTCTTTTAGAACACAACAGTCCGGTTTTTTCCGTGTAAACATAATTTTGATAGCTTAAGGTAACCGGAAGATACAGAGTTAGAAAGAATATAACGAGAACCGCAAATAAACGTGTGGCGCCCGCGTCTTCCCTCGCCCTCAATCAGAAAAGGAGGGTGGCTCACTGCTCGGGAGAAAGGTACGCCCGTCAGATCAAAGTCTTGAACCACGTGTTTTTTTTTTTTACGATCGCTTTTAACTTTGCTAATAACCTACCGGGAAACTTCTAACTCATACAGTGCAAAGCCCTAGTTGTAGACCTGTCGCCGCTCAGGTTTCATCAGGACAGGAGTAACAGTACCGGAATTATTTCGTGACCAAAATTAAGCCTAATCACTAAAAATATTATATTGGTAACATCACCTCACAAACGAATTTAAATTTTGTCCGCTTAATATAATAATAAACAGCACCCCCTAGGCTAATCGGAGGCCCGACTCCGTACTCTCTAGGCCCTTAATTAAGGGGGTATTCAGCAGAAATCTCATTTCATTAAAACATTTTTATAAAAATAACCACAAACTTGACTGATACACCGCTGAAACCTACATTTAGAACATAACAATCCGGGTGCGGCGATGGCGTAGTGGTTAGAGCATCCGCCTCGCATGCAAGAGGTCCATGGCTCAAATCCCGGTGCCGCGCCCTTCCCAACCGGATTTAAAAAAAAACCCCCGCGTGTTGATGGAACTGCATTAAGAGGCCTGGGGGGCGGCCTCACCGGTAACCACCGCCGGGAACGCACTCCTTCACCAGAGAAGGATTGGCCACCCTTGTGCAGTATCTGGCCACTACCTCCCACATGCATACGTCAAATAACTCACGGCCCTCAGTCCCCAGCAGCTGCGAAGCAACTGACCACGGCGGCGGTTAGATCTGCAACGCAGCAGAGGGTGCTAAGAATCTCTGGATCCGGACAGGCCGCCATTGGAACCTGAACTTGGCAACGTTTAACGCTAGAACCTTATCTAGTGAGGAAAGTCTAGCTGTACTATTCGAGGAGCTAGAGGGTGTTAAATGGGATATAATAGGGCTCAGTGAGGTTAGGAGGACAGATGAGGCCTATACGGTGCTACAGATTGGACACGTCCTTTGCTATCGGGGTTTGGCTGACAGAGGAGAAGTGGGAGTGGGGTTCTTAATTCACAGAAACCTAGCTGGCAACATAGAGGAATACTATAGCATTAATGAAAGGGTGTTAGCTATCGTAATTAAACTGAATAAAAGATACAAGAAGAAGGTAGTACAGCCTTACGCGCCTACATCCAGCCATGATGACGCTTCAGTTGAAAGCTTCTATGAAGACGTGGAATCGGCAATGAGTAAGGTAAAAACACAGTATACTATAGTGATGGGCGACTTTAATGCAAAGGTAGGGAAGAAGCAGGCTGGAGACCAGGCAGTAGGAGATTATGGCATCGGCACTAGAAACGCCAGAGGAGAGCTACTAGTAGAATTCGCAGAACGCAATAATTTGCGGATTTCGAATACCTTGTACCGAAAACGAGAAAACCGCAAGTGGACATGGAGGAGCCCTAATGTCGAAAATAAGAACGAAATAGACTTTATAATGACTGCACACCCAGGAATCGTGCAAGATGTGGAAGTGGTTGGCAAGGTAGGATGCAGTGACCATAGAATGGTGCGGTCTCGAATTCGCCTAGACTTGAAGAAGGAATGACAGAAACTAATACGCGAGAAGCCAATCAATGAGCTAGCACTGAGAGGGAAAGTACAGGAATTCAGAGTGTCGCTGCAGAACAGGTACTCGGCTCTTAGTGAGGAAACCAACCTTAGCGTAGATACAATGAATGATAATCTGACGAGTATCATTACGGAGTGTGCAGTGGAAGTTGGAGGCAGGGTAGTTAGACAGGACACTGGCAAGCTTTCCCAGGAAACGAAGAACCTAATTAAGAAGCGTCAAATCATGAAAGTGTCAAGTACAACAGACAAAATAGAACTGGCAGAACTTTCGAAGTTGATTAATAGACGTAAAGTATGCGGCGTAAGAAGGTATAACATGGAGAGAATTGAACACGCTCTGAAAAACGGAGGAAGCGTCAAAGCAGTGAAGAGGAAACTTGGGATAGGCAAAAGTCGGAAGTATACACTAAGGGACAAAGAAGGCAAAATAACTACCAATATGGATAGGATAGTTAAAATAGCGGACGAGTTTTACAGAGATCTGTACAGTAGCCGGGACAACCACGACTTTAATACTATAAGAACTAGCAGTAACCCAGATGACACCCCAACAGTAATGATAGAAGAAGTCAGAAAAGCTTTGGAGAGCATGCAAAGAGGCAAAGCTGCTGGTGAGGATCAGGTAACATCAGATCTGCTGAAAGATGGAGGAGAGATTGTGTTAGAAAAACTAGCCACCCTGTTTACGAGGTGTCTCCTGACGGGAAGAGTACCAGAGTCTTGGAAGAACGCTGACATCATAATACATAAGAAAGGAGATGACAAGGGCTTGAACAATTACAGGCCGATTAGCTTGCTCTCTGTAGTATACAAGCTATTTACAAAAGTAATTGCTAACAGAGTAAAGAAAACATTAGAATTCAATCGACCAAAGGAACAAGCAGGATTTCGAACAGGCTACTCAACAATTGACCACATTCATACTATCAATCAGGTAATAGAGAAATGCTCAGAATATAACCAACCACTATACATAGCCTTCATAGATTACGAGAAGGCGTTTGATTCAGTAGAAATATCAGCCGTCATGCAGACACTGCGGAATCAGGGTGTCGATGAAGTATATATAAACATCCTGGAAGAAATCTACAGGAGATCAACTGCTACCATAGTGCTTCATAAAGAAAGCAACAGAATACCAATAAAAAAGGGTGTAAGGCAGGGGGACACAATCTCCCCAATGCTATTTACCGCGTGCTTACAGGTGGTTTTCAGAAGCCTAGAATGGGAACAGTTAGGCATAAGAGTTAATAGAGAGTACCTTAGTAACCTGCGTTTCGCCGATGACATTGCATTGCTGAGTAACTCAGGGGACGAATTGCAACTCATGATTACGGAGTTAGACAAGGAGAGCAGAAAGGTGGGTCTTAAAATTAATCTGCAGAAAAAGAGAGTAATGTACAACAACCTCGGAAAGGAGCAGCGCTTCGAGATAGGTAATAGTGCACTTGAAGTTGTAAAAGACTATGTCTACTTAGGGCAGGTGATAACCGCAGAGCTTAACCACGAGATTGAAGTAACTAGAAGAATAAGAATGGGGTGGAGCACATTCGGTAAGCACTCTCAAATTATGACAGGTAGATTGCCACGATCCCTCAAGAGGAAGGTATATAACAGCTGTATCTTGCCGGTACTTAGCTACGGAGCAAAAACATGGAGACTTACAAAGAGGGTTCAGCTTAAATTGAGGACGACGCAGCGAGCAATGGAAAGAAAATTGGTAGGTGTAACCTTAAGAGACAAGAAGAGAGCAGAGTGGATTAGGGGACAAACGGGGGTTAAGGATATCATAGTTGAAATAAAGAAGAGGAAATGGACATGGGCCGGGCATGTAGCGCGTAGACAGGATACCCGCTGGTCATTAATGGTAACTAACTGGATTCGCAGAGAAGCGAAGCGGGTTAGGTGGAGACAGAAGGTTAAGTGGGCAGATGAGATTACGAAGTTTGCGGGTATAAATTGGCAGCAACAAGCACAGGACCGTGTTGAATGGTGGAACATGAGAGAGGCCTTTGTCCTGCAGTGGACGGATGATGATGATGATGATAATGGTGATGATGATGGTGGTGATGATGATGGTGGTGGTGGCGATGATGATGATGATGAGTTCTAGAAATGTAATGAAACTTATAGAAATGCTGACATGAGAAGCCCTTTTCTCCACAGAGTAGGAGTCGTCCCAAGGTATAGAGGTGTAGCGTTCAGTGCGCGTGCCGGTCGAATTGCGTTGGTGGGCATGCAAGGGCAGAGTTTTATTAATGTTCTATCCAGCCGTGTTCTGTACCGTGATTATGCCATAAACTACAGTGCATTACACGGCGGAGCAGCGGTTCAATGCAAGAACCAGCACAGCGCGTTAGTTGCGTATACTTTCAGAAAAAAAAATGAACGTGCGGAAATCCTCGTTTTCTTTTTTGTCGCTTTAAAAAATAGGACATCCAACAGTGTTTCATCCGCTCTCACATTGCCGGAATAGTCACGCGTTTGAAATAAATTTCGCTTATGCAGAAGTTCAAATTCAATATTCGTAGTGTAAGGCATAAAACTTGATTTTAAATAACTAAAGAAATGGCGGTTTGCACCGATTTTCATCGTATTCGTGCGTGGTTGGGCCACAGAAGCATGCCTAAAATAAAAAAGAAGCTAATCAGTTACAAGCTTCTTACTTACATTTAGAAGTAAAGAGCCAATACAGTACAGCAATTAAGTAGGTTACATTTACGACAAAGCCTAAATGTGTGCATGGTGCAACGCGCTTCTTGCATGCAGCTGATGATCTGGTGGTCTCTGGACCACATACTTACAGTGTCTGGTTGGCGAGCAATAAATAGGCCTAAAGCGTTGCCATTAACCACTGCTGCTCACATACTTAGGTCCGCCTCGGCGGAACAGTGGCTACAGTGCTCGGCTGCTGAGCCGATCAAAAATCGCGGGTTTGATTTCGGCCGCGGCCGTCACGTCTCGATGGAGGCGAAATGGTACAGGCCAATGTACTGCGGGATGTCAGTGCACGCTACAGAACACCAATTGTCAAAATTTCCGGAGCCTTCAACTACGGCGTATTTTATAATCATCTTGAGCGTTTTCGACGTAAAGCCCCAGATGATATCTTACTATTGGTCACATATTTATTTCTTCGATAGCAAGCTGCATCATTGTTGTTGACGCATTAACAATCAAATATGATGCAATATACCCGTATTTCCTCAGAAATTGGAAATAACGCGTTGATGCATCCTAATTAGGCTGCGGAACATAATGGTTCGACAAAAATGTATCCAGCACCCTGAAGAAAGAAATAAAGAAAGAAAGTGTTCGCTGGAGCATCCCTAGTTTTACACACATCGACCCTCGGCCAGCGTGTATACGCGCCCGTCGGCACACCTCTCAGTCAACATCCTCTTGAATTGCACAGCATGCGTGTGAAGAGTATACCGGCGTGTGTGCTCGACGTCATCAGGGCCGGTATCATGTGACGTTTCTGTTTACTGCATTTTCCTCGCGTTTCATCACTAGTCCCAATGAGGCATAGCCTTTGCCTACCACTGTTGCCAGGGGTTCGCTAGCGGTAGGGGACATGAAAGGAACAGAATTGAGCGCAAGGAATGTTTCAGTTATGCCGACCCAAAATGACATTTGCTTCTATCGATAATTCATTACCTTCTGTACATTTTGAAAGGAAGAGAGGCAGAGGCGAGAGATGAGTCATTAGTTATTACTTTGTGTGTTCAGTTTGTTTATAGTACAGTTTAAATCCTGCCCGTTTTTTTCTTTTTGTTTGTTTTAGAAATGTATATGTCTACAGGTGCGTTCTTGAGCTCGCATGTTCTACATTTAGCGATGATGATGTTTCTGTAAGGTAAGTTATAACTATATGCTATTCTGTTCCTTTTCCGCAGTTGCGATGTTTATTATCAGTCCAAAAATTGACGATTGTCAGTTTTTGTATGACATGTTTTTATTTGCGACTGTTACAAGCTGCCACTCTAGCGTCGCCAGCGCGAAGTCGGCGACGGGAATGACAGCAGGTTGGTTCGTTCCGTATGCAAGCAGAGACAGTGAAGAGATCAGAGACGTGAGAAAACAAAACAAACTTTACTCTAGTGATATTGCAGCACACAGGATCTAATACGACACTTCAATACAGCTAACAAATTACATCAACACTTGATACAAACACATATAAAAACAATAAATCAGCTTACGCGAGAGAACTATTATAAACTACACAAACTAACACAACAGAACTACAGAGGAGAAAGTTCGAAGATATAAACAGGTGAAGGCATACGTGTGATGACCGGCAGCGTTGCGTCCCCGACGATCGGAAGCGAGAAGTCGAAGAGAGTTCTGGCACGACTGCGATGTCGGCGGTGTTGCAACGCTGGTGGCTCCGGGAGGCTAGTGCTTGCAGGTGACTTCGAGCAGGTTGAGCTAACTCGAGGTGAAGTCCCGATGTCTACGTTGCAGACGTTAATATCGCGTCACAACTAGACGAACGGCTAAGTTTAGGTGGCCAGCCGATACAGAGCCACACTAAAAACTTCTAGAAGAGATGCTTGTTGATCTGTTTCTACACCATGTTGGTCAGCGACTAGTCTGCCTAGCAGGGCAAAATCCTGCGCTTAAATCCCCCTCGTGTCTCCTCGCTCTCTTCCTTGGGGACAAGAGACCTCTACCTGGGTCCAATCATGCGCGTTTAATTGATGGGAAACTCCGCCCCAAAAATATTTTGACCCCACCCCTTTTAATTGGGAGAGGGCCCTCAACTAGCGAGAGTGACAACCTGTCGGGTTGTTGTCATACGGCTTGGCCACCAGAGCGTTTCCCACGCTTTTCCCCGTGGGAACGGTCAAACGTTTGGCTCTCAGCCGGTGCGTCTTGTAGTCTAATCCTTGTTCGGGGTATACCGCGGCCTTCTACGACCTTGCAGACGCCGCCGCAGTTACAAAAGGGTCAACTGTCGGCGGCGACGTTCTAAGAAGAGCACCCCATTCTGCCCTTCTCGGCTCCCTTTCATGCGCCGCCGTTCTCACGGTCAGTCGGGGAGTACGGCGCCCGTTAATTGCCGTGACGCGGTGTCGCCAAAAATGGCCGTCCGTGACAGCGACTAACTTGTGTATGACATGTTTTCTGTGTACCATACTGCATTTTGCCGGGCGAAAGCCTCCATCAGGCTATATAGCATTTTGCTTTCGCTTCGTTTTTTTTTCTGCTATACAGTACAGTAAATAAAACCTCAAGTAAACCTCAAACCTAAAAGCTTCATACAAATACCTCCCCCAGTACTGCAGTGAATCTGCCTTCTGAGTTCCACGTGCACGAATATCATCCCCGAGAACAGATGTTATTGGAAAACTTTGTCAGTACTATCGGCGTCAAATGAAACCCGAACAGAGGTCAGCCTTCGTGATAGTATATAGTGTGCACCGTCCACTTATCACCATGAACAGGCAAGCATGTTGCCGAGCAGGATGCGCGTGCCTGTCGATGGTGATAAGTGGACGGCGCGCACTATACTATCACCAAGGCGTGCCACTGTTCGGGGTTCATTTGACGCCGATGCTACATATACGCAATAGTAATGGGTGAATTTGATTGACACGCACATCCGTGCAAACTGGTGGCTAGCGGTGTTGTCGCTGCGTTCTTGGGTATTAAAGGACTACACCCAAAGCCTAACAAACATTTTAATTCTATTGTGCTGGCAAGTGCTTCGCGCACACGCGCACAAATTTTGCGAACGGTTAGTGTCATCCAAACTATATTTAACAGTAAGTTCTAAACTAATAGTCCATATATATATATATATATATATATATATATATATATATATATATATATATATATATATATATATATATATATATATATATATATATATATATATATATATATATATATATATATATATATATGTATGTATATATATATATATATATATATATATATATATATATGTGCACAACATATTCATACTTGAACAAAATATTACTTTCATCATAAGTACTGACGGATGATTACTGAGCATGCATTTAATAAAACAGAGTGATATACTGCACTTCAAAAAAATCACACTGAAGTGATGCGCAGACCGCACACCACAGGCATGGCTGACATAAGCGAAACGCAGAACATACAGGTTTAAGGTAATGCGTTCACGGTCCAGTTCACATCGACAAAAGACTCGCCGTACAAAAATCTTCTACGAACGCATAGACTGATGAGGAGAAATGCAGAGCCATTATGTGCATTTCTCGTAATCCAATGAGCATACATAGAACAGAACAGAACAGAACAGAAGGTTTATTGTGCTAAATGAAGAAGAATACATGTGCATGATATACAGAAAGAGGTCCCATAGTCAGAGACTGCAAGGGGACGTCTTGTACAATGTAGAATTGAGAATGATTGTGATGTACATAGCAGGGAGACAGAGCTACAGTAAAATGCAATTGAAACAAATAAAGTAAGAATATACAGAAACAATTTAAAAGTAAGAATAACGTGCTAACTTCAATGACAAATGATTACAGAACACAACTCACAATGAACAGGAATCAATTAAGAAACAAGCGAAACTATGTATACAGAATGGCCCCCTCGTTTTTTTTTAAACCTGGCTGGTTCCTCTTACCTATGTACTTAGGTTTAGGTGAACGTTAGAGAACCTCAGGTGGTCCAAGCTTCCAGCGCCCTTCACTATGACGTCCTTCGTTACATTTCGAGGCTTTAAGACGTAAGGCTCCCGCACTCATTCTCTTCTCGTTCGTTACAATGGCGTACGTCTTATTAAGTAGCTTTCTCAATGCCTCTCACTGCTTCCTCCAAATCTAGTCTGGAACATCACGACTGATGCCCACCACTGCACCTCAAATGATGTGAGTTTCTATAACTACGGCAAATCCCGACCTTGTTAATGTGCTCACTGCTCGTACTGGCTTACAGCATTCCTCTTCAAGCCCGTTTGCCAGTGGGTAATGTGCCACGGCAGTCAGATACCGGCTAACTCTGTGCCCGGCGGTAAAGACGGAGGAGAGACCATCTACGTCGGCCGCGCGGTCCACGACGGTCAAGTCCTTCCGGGCAAAGTGGTGCCTTCGCACAGCTGCTGCTACGTCTCCTACGCTGGCGCCGAGCATAGTCACAGGGACTATCAAGTGTGTAAAAATTCATGTTTTGTCTGAGGCCCTCACGAAAATTCAAAGCGAATTAAGTGAACGAAAAGCAACGCGCCACCGAACCTGCGACCTCCGAATAAGGCGTCTGGTGTTGTACCAAGTGAGTTGGTAAGGCATCGGTATGGTTGGGTAGGACGCGTTATTCGAAGGTCGCCGGTTCGATCCCTGCCGGTGGCCTGACATATTTTCGTCCACTTTTCATCCTTCGCATTTACATTAAGCTTAAGGCTTATAACGTCTTCTTCACTTTCCTTGGCTATATTGTCGGTTAGTTATCATTAATATTGTGTCTAAGAAAGAAAACAAGCCTTTAAATCTACTCTTCTTTTCTGCTCTCGTGAACAACACCCTCAATATTTCAATTTCAACAAGCACGCATTGGTATTGCTGTCCAGTCTGAGATTCCTTAACGCTGAAACTAAAACATTGCCGCGTGTTTTTTTTTTGTTTTTTTTATGCGCGTCTGTAGTTGCGAAGGTGATTCAATTCATAGACTTCCCGAAATAGCGTCTATGGAACTATACCAGCTCAAAGGTGAGTCCTAGCTTGGGCTTCGTTCTTAAGTATGGTTCGTATAAGATGAACGCCGGCAGTATAGGGAAAACTAGGGCATTACGAATGGGCAGACAAGTCATAAACACCGTCAAAGACATGTGAGAGATTCCAGCACGCAAGCCCGTTGGCAGGCAATCTCATTTTATTCTTTTCTCTCTCTACAGGTGCTAGTCTCCGATGGTCCTCCGATGGCTTGGGTGCCAGCTTCCCACGGCTCGGTGCCAACTGGAGCCATTCAGGGCGGCACGTCCAGCTCAGGAGAGCCACTGTACATCGGCCGAACCTTCCACAACAGAACGCTGACCATTGGAAAAGTGCACCCATCGCACAATTGCCTGTACATACCGTACGGCGGCAAAGAACACCGCTACTCAAACTACGAAGTATTGGTTACAGTCAACTTCTGAAAAGCACAAGACATGGGATTTGAAAGTCTTGCAAAGAGTAATGTTGTGTAAGAACACCGTGAACAAATAGTCCATGTTACATTTATTTTTTGCACAGGCACACACATTGAGGCAACTAAGACATTTTAAGGGTAAATATTCCTTGATTGATTGATTGATCGATTAATCGGTTGATTGATTGATTGATTGATTGATTGGTTGGTTGATTGATTGATTGATTGATTGATTGATTGATTGATTGATTGATTGATTGATTGATTGATTGATTGATTGATTGATTGATTGTAACTTTGTTTTGTTTATGAGAAGACGCAGGGGAGACCCCGAGCCACCCGGCTAATCCCTCGTATAGGGACCGTCAAGCCGAGCTTGGCGGCACGTTCACGGACACTCTGGACGGCCAGGGTTTGATTCTTCTTCTTCAAGTTTGCCTTGTTTCGAAAATTTTATTTATCATTCGAAGATACAGCTCACTACAGCGAGAGCTGTTACGTAGTGAATATTCATATATATGAGGTCGTACTAAGTAAGAGCAGAGGAGAGCACCTGTTTTAGCGGCTGTTTTTTTATGTCATCAGTGACCTGAGGCTAACAGAAAATGTTTGTTGTATTGAACATGGGGCTATGGACATCATGTTTGTGACAAAAGCCCAAGAAAGATGTTCTGTACAATTAGTGCAGTAATTTACTGATTGAGCTCTGTCAGCCAGCCATTAGGCGTGCAAACAGAAGCCACATTTTGTGCCATCAGTAAATGCAACTATGTGATGTGATGTAATGGTTGTGGTCATTATGTAATGTATGTATAATGCATGCTTTTGAATGTGACTCTTTTTTTTGCGAACCAAATGCACTTTCTATCTACCACCTACATCACGATGCTCTCAAGGTCATATACTTAGCTTGGTAATTATACTCCGATATTGGCATAGCTGGGTATGAGTGTATGACAATAATGATTGACAGGCCATGGAATCACTGACGTGCCAGTTGTGTACAGGTGTGAGCATAAGTGTGCAGCCCACGTGGCCGAAGGCATCCAGGCGTTATCTAGCGACGAGACGCCTGCTGTGGTGTGCATGCGACCCGTCAAATCAGTTGGCCTTTCATGGCGCTCTCTCTGACGCGCTCGCAGCCAAAACAACAACTGGGTGTCGCTGTCTTTGCTTCATCCAATTTGTGCCTTTTTTTTTTTAACGTAGCGGCTGTGACTGCACCAGCTCCAGTGCCAGGCCCATCCTGTTATTTATACCGGTTTGCTAGCATAACTTAGCGTAGCAAGCCTCGCAAGACCTGATGGAGCCAAGCACACCAAATTACATTTTCTCAGCCCAGCTTGCCTTTGTTACGTTACGCCAAGCTGAACTTAAATGAGCCTCGCTATGATGAAAGAAGCACTAATAAGTCGAAGACATAATTAAAATAAGTTTTAAGGCGAATTAGATTTAATTTAGCCTAATGAGACTAGACTCTGATTAGAAATTAGTATTTTTCTCAGCTTGGATTCACCCCGTGGCGGTGGTCTAGTGGCTAAGGTACTCGTCTGCTGACCCGCAGGTCACGGGATCGAATCCCAGCTACGACGGCTGCATTTCCAATGGAGGCGAAAATGTTGTAAGCCCGTGTGCTCAGATTTGAGTGCACGTTGGGGAGCCCCAGGTGGTCGAAATTCCTGGAGCCCTCCACTACAGCATCCCTCATAGTCATATGGTGGTTTTGGGACATTAAACCCCACACATCAATCAATCAATCAACTTGGATTCTCTAGACTCATAGAAATTATTCTTTTCAACATTGCATTCTGCTTTTAGTCCTTTAAAAACCTGTGACAGGTCCTTGTATATCCTTCAATTTTCCCTTTGGAAACCTGTACGAACCATGTTAATTGGTATAGTATCAGTAGAGAGTAATTAGTTTCTTCCTGGGTTTGGCGCCTTTAAGCTCATGGGGAAGTCAACTTGGTTTTATTGGCCACGATAAGATTTGCCTCATTTGGGCTAATTTTGCTAGGCTAAATTAAATGATAGCTTGATCAACTTGAGCAAAAAAAAAGCAGCGATGGCGTAGTGGTTAGAGCATCCGCCTCGCATGCAAAAGGTCCGTGGTTCAAATCCCGGTGCTGCGCAGTTCCCAACCGGATAAAAAAAATCCGCGTGGTGATGGAACTGCATTACGAGGCCTGGGGTGCGGCCTCACCGGTAACCACCACCGGGAACGCACTCCCTCACCAGAGAAGGATTGGCCACCCTGGTGCAGTATCTGGCCACTACCTCCCACATGCATACGTCAAATAACTCACGGCCCTCAGTCCCCAGCAGCTGCGAAGCAACTGACCACGGCGGCGGTCAGATCTGCAACGCAGCAGAGGGTGCTAAGAATCTCTGGATCCGGACAGGCCGCCATTGGAACCTGAACTTGGCAACGTTTAACGCTAGAACCTTATCTAGTTAGGGAAATCTAGCTGTACTATTCGAGGAGCTTGAGGGTGTTAAATGGGATATAATAGGGCTCAGTGAGGTTAGGAGAATAGATGAGGCCTATACTGTGCTACATAATGGGCACGTCCTTTGCTATCGGGGCTTGGCAGACAGAAGAGAACTGGAAGTGGGGTTCCTAATTCACATAAACATAGCTGGCAACATAGAGGAATACTATAGCATTAATGAAAGGGTGATAGGTATCGTAATTAAACTGAATAAGAGATACAAGATGAACGTGGTACAGGCTTACGCGCCTACATCCAGCCATGATGACGCTTCAGTTGAAAGCTTCTATGAAGACGTAGAATCGGCAATGAGTAAGGTAAAAACACAGTATACAATACTGATGGGAGACTTCAATGCAAAGGTAGGGAAGAAGCAGGCTGGAGACCAGGCAGTAGGAGATTATGGCATCGGTACTAGAAACGCCAGAGGAGAGCTACTAGTAGAATTCGCAGAACGCAATAATTTACGGATTTTGAATACCTTCTACCGAAAACGAGGAAACCGCAAGTGGACATGGAGGAGCTCTAATGGCGAAAATAAGAACGAAATAGACTTTATAATGAGTGCACACCCAGGCATCGTGAAGGATGTGGAAGTGGTTGGCAAGGTACGAAGCAGTGACCATAGAATGGTACGGTCTCGAATTCGCCTAGACTTGAGAAAAAAACGACAGAAACTGATACGCAAGAAGTCAATCAATGAGCTAGCACTGAGAGGGAAAGTACAGGAATTCAGAGCCTCGCTTCAGAACAGGTACTCGGCTCTTAGTGAGGAAACCAACCTTAGCATAGATACGATGAATGATAATCTGACGAGTATCATTACGGAGTGTGCAGTGGAAGTTGTAGGCAGGGTAGTTAGACAGGACACTGGCAAGCTTTCCCAGGAAACGAAGAATCTCATTAAGAAGCGTCAAATCATGAAAGTCTCAAGTACAACAGACAAAATAGAACTGGCAGAGCTCTCGAAGTTGAATAATAGGCGTAAGGTATCCGACGTAAGAAGGTATAACATGGAAAAAATTGAACACGCTCTGAAAAACGGAGGAAGCGTCAAAGCAGTGAAGAGGAAACTTGGGATAGGCAAAAATCGGATGTATGCACTAAGAGACAAAGAAGGCAAAATCACTACCAATATGGATAGGATAGTTAAAATAGCGGAAAAGTTTTACAGAGATCTGTACAGTAGCCGGGACAACCACGACTTTAATACTATAAGAACTAGCAGTAACCCAGATGACACCCCACCAGTAATGATAGAAGAAGTCAGAAAAGCTTTGGAGAGCATGCAAAGAGGCAAAGCTGCTGGTGAGGATCAGGTAACATCAGATCTGCTGAAAGATGGAGGCCAGATTGTGTTAGAAAAACTAGCCACCCTGTTTACGAGGTGTCTCCTGACGGGAAGAGTACCAGAGTCTTGGAAGAACGCTGACATCATCTTAATACATAAGAAAGGAGATGACAAGGGCTTGAACAATTACAGGCCGATTCGTTTGCTCTCTGTAGTATCCAAGCTATTTACAAAAGTAATTGCTAACAGAGTAAATAAAACATTAGAATTCATTTAACCAAAGGAACAAGCAGGATTTCGAACAGGCTACTCAACAATCGACCACATTCATACTATAATTCAGGTAATAGAGAAATGCTCAGAGTATAACCAACCACTACACATAGCCTTCATAGATTACGAGAAGGCGTTTGATTAAGTAGAAATATCAGCCGTCATGCAGACACTGCGGAATCAGGGCGTAGATGAAGTATATATAAACATTCTGGAAGAAATCTACAGGGGATCAACTGCTACCATATTGCTTCATAAAGAAAGCAACAGAATACCAATCAAGAAGGGTGTAAGGCAGGGGGACACAATCTCCCCAATGCTATTTACCGCGTGCTTACATGAAGTTTTCAGAAGCCTAGAATGGGAACAGTTAGGGATAAGTGTTAATGGAGAATACCTTAGTAACTTGCGCTTCGCCGATGACATTGCATTGCTGAGTAGCTCAGGCGATGAATCGCAACTCATGATTACGGAGTTAGACAAGGAGAGCCGAAAGGTAGGTCTTAAAATGAATCTGCAGAAAACGAAAGTAATGTTCAACAACATCGGAAAAGAGCAGCGCTTCGAGATAGGTAATAGTGCACTTGAAGTTGTAAAAGACTATGTCTACTTAGGGCAGGTGATAACCGCAGAGCCTAACCACGAGATTGAAGTAACTAGAAGAATAAGAATGGGGTGGAGCACATTCGGCAAGCACTCTCAAATTATGACAGGTAGATTGCCACTATCCCTCAAGAGGAAGGTATATAACAGCTGTATCTTGCCGGTACTTAGCTATGGAGCAGAAACATGGCGACTTACAACGGGGGTTCAGCTTAAAGTGAGGACGACGCAGCGAGCAATTGAAAGAAAAATGGTAGGTGTAACCTCAAGAGACAAGAAGAGATCAGAGTGGATTAGGGAACAAACGGGGGTTAAGGATATCATAGCTGAAATCAAGAAGAAATGG